TGGCTGTTCTTGTGCTGTACAAGTATGAATTTAATAATCGCGTCCCGGTGGCAGAACCAAGTAGAACCAAAGCGACAACTTTCTTAGAATTATTTTTCGTGGAAAATATTTTTCTTTACGCTTCGATGAGTGTGATGAGAGATGCTAGTTTGCTGGGTCGCCTACAATACACGCACTTTTCGTGATAATTGTCACTACGAGGGGAGTGTTGTGACGATTTCACATTCTTTAACTTAAGAAATAATTGAATCTACTTCTGCTTGATGAAAATGCATTATAAAATAAAATAGTAAAAAACCAGCCAGAGTTTAACTCCGTGCAAAGTTGTAGGTATGTAAATACTTCGTCAAGATCTTTTTTTGTAATGTAATGTAAAAGGAAAGTACATACATAGGATTTGTAGATTTAGAAAAAGATTTTGACAATGTTAAATGCGACAAGAAGTTAAATATACTTAAAAATGTAGGAAGTTATAGAGCTAGGGTTGCAACCTAGAGAAGTAAACATTAAGAAGTAAGAAGGCAGTCAGACAGGGATGCACACTGCCACCGATACCTTTTTAACCTATACATGGAAGACGCGATCAACACCATTAAAGACAGTACAACTGTAGGGATAGATATACAGGGGCATAAAATTAGTATTTTGAAATTTGCAGATGATATAGCAGTATTAGCATCTAGCAAGGAGGAGTTAAAGATAGCTTTAAATAAAATTGAAGCGGTATTAACACAACAGTACTGTATGAAAATAAATAAAAGTAAAACAAAAATACTGGTATGCAAGGGAAGAAAAAGTAGGGAAAGAGTGATTATAAAGATAAGTGACGAAAAATTAGAAGTGGCTGATTTTAGATATCTAGACCATTGATTAGCATTCGGGAGGACGCCGGTTCGATTCCGGGTCCGTCTGCCTTGGTCCAAGTTTTTCTGTGGTTTCCTTGGATCAATTAGGCAAATGCTGAGGCAGTAATATTCCACAGATAATCTTTCACTCTCTTCTGTCTTCGTTTCGTCCGTCTCATCTTTCTTACCCGAACCACCACCCATCCATTCCCACGATTCCTGAAAGCAGGCTGAAGAGGGCCTTCCGCCCTACCTTCCGGCGTAGTCCGGAGGGACTGCCCGCCCACCAGCATTACTGGCTGGTGGGAATGAAACACCCAAAGGTTTTTTTAAGATATCTAGGAAATCAGATAAGTCAGGACGGAAGGTGTAGTAGGGATATAAAGCAGAGCATAGCGCAGGGTCGAGTCGCCTTCAATAAATAGAAGTCACTATTATGCTCGCGAACTGTTAATTTAGAAATTCGAAAAAGGTTGTTGTGGTGCATGTTTGGAGCGCGGCGCTGTATGGGTACGAAACATGGACGGTGTACGCTGCGGAAAAGAGAATGTTAGAAGCGTTCGAAATGTGGTGTTACAGGCGAATGATGAGGATACCGTGGATAGAGAAGGTTAGAAATGAAGAGGTATTAGAAAGAATAGGGAAACAGAGGATTCTGTGGAAGTAAAAAAAAAATAGGCGAGGTAGGTTGGTAGGACACCTTCTTAGGCATGATGGTCTAGTCAGAGACATATTAAAGGCAGAAACGATAGTTGGGAGGGGTTGAGGTAGGCCTAGATTAGATTATTATTCACAAATAGTTAAGGATGTGGGTTGTTTTAGTTTTAGGGAAATGCGAAGATTAGCTCAGGATAGTAAAGAGTGGAGGTGCGTGCCCAACCAGTCTTAGGACTGATGATCATGATGTAACTAAAGATCTTATAATACTCACTATGGACAGCGCGTGCCGCTTGGTTGGTGAATCCAGCATATAAAAAGGATAGATATACAGTAGCACATGACTTAGAGCAAGAGAGGCAGGCCATCTACTGCTAAAGATCTTATGATACTGTTCTATATGTAAATGATTTTGTTTTGTAGACATAAGAAAAAATAATAAATATCCATCATCAATATAGTATTCGTAGGAATACCCGTGTAAATGTTAGGAAATTCTTTACCTTTTCAAATATTAGTATTCTTTATTTTCATTTGATTTAGTCGCATTCTTTTGTGTTTATATTTAAAATTCCAATATTTTTTTGTACCTTCTCAATAATGATCGTATTAATTTGTTTGACATTTAGAGAATACTTTAATGTATAAATTCACCAATTCAACCAAAAGAAAGGGTACTTTCAAAATTAACCAAATTAATTCACTTCAATTATCAATAAATATGTATCCATGATTACTAATGGGTAGTTCTGTAATTGTTCTTTTATAATGTAATTAATTAATTAAAGTTCTATTAAAGCGCTTCTTTTAGTATTTTTAATTTAAGTAAAATAGTTGTAAAAAGGTAACTGTTTTAAATGAAAATATTGTATACAAACATTCCCAAATTGAAGAAATTATTTATGTTTCAACCATAAGGCAATGGAAAGTTCGTCTATCATTAAATAAAATAGATAGATATACTTATAGTGAAATAAAATTTTTCCATCATTAGCAAAATTTAAATTCACAAACACATTGTTTTAGTAGTAACATTAACATTCATATTAATTATATCATCGTAGAAGTAGTTCTTTTATATGAAACTGAAAAACAAGTAGCGTGATTTCCATTAAACGGAAACTATTCTAGTGTCAATATCTACTAATGCTAGACATGTAAACCAATTAAAATTTTGCGGTTCCTACTAGGTAATTTATGAATTAAAAGAGATCAAAAACAATTAGTTCATTTACAAATACAATTATCAGCGTATGATTCCCTTTCTACTACTCTAATGATGATACATAAAAATGTAACTAATATTCTCGTAAGCGGCTGAGATAAATTTCACATTTTTTATTAAATCATTGATTAGTTTTGCAGTTTCACAAAAATTGGCCCACTAATACGTTAAATATGATTAAAAGTTCTTAACATTCTAAGCCACCACATTCAGTGATGGTGTATTTTTGCCCTAAATCACGTGGTACTACAAATTTTTGCTCCTCATCACACTCACTCGTGTAGCATCATCGGTATTGGATTCAATACTACATACTGGAAACATCGGCTACGCTCTATCTTTGAATATAAATATAAATTTACAATTTTTAGATTTTTTCTTTGCTTGTGCTTCTTACCAAATTTCATCTTTACAGATCAATGGGAAGTACCGTATACGCTTTGATTCCCTTGCGGTTGTTAAAATATGCGTCATAAACGGTCCAATCTTTTGATTGTATTGATTTAAAGGTTTGATTTTTTCACAGCTTCTAGGGCTGACAGACCTAAGTATTTGATATTAATTACAACATTAAAGTCCAGTCATATTAGGGGTTTCGCCTCGAAATGAGAGATAATAAGCTGTAAACTTGTACAGGCCTGACGCTGGAAGCTAGCGGAAATTTTAAAATGGCGTGGATGCGCGTTGGTAAAAGTAGGCAGTTTTAGGTATAAAGATTGCAGCCCTCATTCTTCAGTATTCCTATCAGGGGCGTAGATTAAATATTTAAAAGCAGGGATCAGTGAGTAAGTAATAGACATACAAACAGAAGAAGTAATTGTTGATGTTGGTGACAGTGATAGAGATTCCGATGGTGACAGTGAATGTGAAAACTAACTATAAAACCAAAGCAATAGGTTAATTTTTTCTTTTTGATAAGTCATGTTTTTACATTATTTTCTAGTACGCTACTGTCCCATCTGTATTATTACTATAATTTACGCCTACTGAAAGCTTATTTGTGTATCGGTTCCAAGTGACTTACCCAAATAGGTCATAAATGGGCAAGTACCTGCGCGACCGCTCGCCAGCTTCCTTCGTCAGACCTGTATTAACTTTTATTTTGGCATTCTAAATGTTGTGTCAAAAGTCACATAAAATCTCGTGTCCGTATCTTAAAATATTCAAGGTCAAAGGTCACCAAAACCGATTTTTCGCTAATATCTCGCTTTTTTTCTCATAATTTCGACAGTTAATTTTTAAATATGTGAGTAGACAAATAATGTATTTTTTTAAGACATTGGTTTTTACTATTTCGGCCATTATAAAATAAATATATTTTGTAAACAATGATAAATCTCGCGAACCGGAAGAATGTTCAAAGTGCTCCACAGGTTAGTCACCCCTGGCGTAGAGGTTTATACCACTACTTATCATTCGGGAGGACATCGGTCATAAATTGTGAAGGGTATCATAATTCACGCATAGTACATATACAGAGGACTGCAATTATTGTCCCGAGTGAATATTCATCATTTCGACAAGAACAATTAAATGGAAAGAAAATTATTTAGTAATTTATTACATTTTCATTAAAAAGAATATTACTTGTTAGACCGTTTAATATTTTATTTGTATATATGGTGTAGTTTTTTCGATTTGATATGTTTTCATATTCATAAATGTCAGGTATCCAAAACTATAAATGAAATAAAAAAATAATCATTCATTTAGGTATGTATAAATGCAAACAGTTACACTTTTTACATTATATCTGAGAATATTTCTTCGTCTTTCTATTTTAAACTAATACCTAATTGTTTCTGTTAAAGAATCTCAAAAAACTACTGAGACTGTAAAAATATTTTACTTAAAATTACGAAAAAAAAAATCTGAAGAGGAATCAACACCATGCAAACTCAAAAAATACTGACATTAATAATGTTAATGGATTGAAAATTGCAATTGTTTATTCAATATTTTAGTGATACAATTAGTATAGGTACTGCGACCCTTCATGTACCTACACCTTTTAATTTGAATGGACAAGATTATTTTAAAAAAATGTTTAATTTAATTTGAAATTTATATTTTATAAAATGTCAATTAATTAATGTTTTCCGGCTTCTAGGTTTTATTCTTACAGATTTTAATCATTTTCTCAATACTCTCCAAAGTACACTCTCTATGGATTCAAGATAAAGTTCAAAATTTATCACAAATTCGATTTCCTCTTCGACACCAGCAGCATTCAAAGATAAGTAATTACGATTATAAAAACGAAAATATGGACCTTAATGTTCGCGTAAATGCTCAACCACCACAACCATGTAATCCAAAATTTCCTTGCCGCCAACCATACAAATGTCGTCATCCAAATGAAAATCATATATCCAACAGAGAACCAGGAAAGCGCCGCGTATGTTGGATGATGATTGGATGCTGCCTCGAAGACGTTCCTCAGTCGGCAACATGTAATACAACTCCAAAATGTCCAACTCCAAAATGTCCAACTCCAACATGTCCAACTCCAAAATGTCCAACTCGAACGCGACCAACTTCTGGAACTCGAACAACTACTGGAACTCGAACAACCACTGGAACTCGAACAACTACTGGAACTCGAACAACTACTCGAACTCGAACAACTACTCGAACTCGAACAACTACTCGAACTCGAGCAACTACTCGAACTCGAACAACTACTCGAACTCGAGCAACTACTCGAACTCGAACAACTACTCGAACTCGAGCAACTACTCGAACTCGAACTAGAAAAACTACACGCGGCCCCCCCATCACTCTTCCCGACCCAGATTACACACCAGATGAAACTGAATCAACAGAAACAACTGATACACCAGAATGCACCACCGAAATTCCACCCGGTACGGGGTCCACGCCTTCATGTCAAATAACAAGTAAATGTCCACCGGAATGCGCAAACAACACAAATCCAGGTTGTAACATATACCGATTTGAACAGAACTTAATCTACTTTATATTAATGGCAAATAATAAAGAAAACTGTAACGCAACAGTACCTACACTAGAAACAACACCAAAATTAATAATCCCAACACCAGCACCAATCCCAATCCCAATACCAACACCAGCACCAGCACCAGTACCAGCACCAGCACCAGCACCAGCACCAGCTCCAGCACCAGCACCAGCACCAGCACCAGCACCAGCACCAACACCAGCACCAGCACCAACACAAGCACCACCACCAGCACCAACACCAACACCAGCACCAGCACCAACACCAACACCAGCACCAACACCAACACCAACACCAACACCAGAAGGAACAACTCCAAGTGGCGAAGGCACTGATGATGTGCATTATCTTGATGCCACTGGGAATGCAAAAACAGAACCCGCTCTGTGATTGTCCCTTCAGCTCAAACAGCTGTAAGAGATTTATCTGCACAAGGCTCAATTTGAGAAGAAGGTTCTGAAAATAAGGATATATCGATTTCAACTTGATCTACGTCCCAGCACCATAAGTATGCTTCCATACCCTCCCAAATCTTCCTTGATATAATAGTGGTTAATTCGCATTATATATATTTAATTATATTATAAGAAAATATCAAATTTAATGTTTTAGTGTATCATTATATATAGCTCATAAAAATATATCTGTTTTTAATTAATTAATTTATATGCTACATACGGAATAATAAATAATATGCTGAACGTGGGAAATGACTACCTTTTTAAACTAGTAGTTTCAAGCCTTACTTAATTGCTTGCAAATATCCTAAAATAATTCTTTATTAAAAAACGCGTGCCTTATCTGTGGTAAACCGCTGGCTATTTTTACGCCATCATTTAATATTAATTACACAGCAGATACGTTAATTTTCTTAATTATTTATGCTAATAAATTGTTGTTAATCAACACTACACTAGGTAAGTAATTGATAACGTACAAGTTTTCTAACAAACTTTTTTTATTTGCTTGTGAACTTATAAGTATGTAAAAAGCAAAGAAAGAAAAATTATTTAGTGAGAGACACGACAAGCGACAAAATGACAGGTCGTGTTTGTTAGATATAGAATACTCTTACCCACTCCTACGTGATAAGTCTATAAAAGTTAATACGCTGAGTCTAGTTTTCCTTTAGATCGATAAAAATAGGTATCCAAATTATGTGGTTAAGTTGAGCTGGTAGTACCTGGCCCTTTGGTCGCCCTCCCTCCCCTCCTAAAGCCGGCACTGTATGAATGAAATCTAGGAATTGTATACAATTCCTAGTAAATATATACAATTCCGAGGTTATTTAAGAAATCTATAAAATATTGTTTCAAAGACTTCTTAATACACACATATCCTGGGAAATGTATACATTTCCTAGAAATTGTATGAAATTCCGATATTGTACTAGGAAATGCATTACACTAATGCTTTCTGTGAATAAAATGAATAAAACACGTTAGTAAACTGAGAATCAAGGTTATCTGTGTTTGATGAGGTTAGGTTTGGAGATATATATGCATTAGAGACGTTATTGTAGGGTTATTAGGTAGATAGACTGGAGTTTCGTTAATGCTCCTACCCGCCGAAGGCGGGCTGATACGTTGAGTGTTTAGAGAATTTAGTTTTACGTTATTTTCTGTTTTCCTAAATAAAGTTAAATTTTTATTGGCTTAAAAGTGGTGTTATAGGCGGATGATGAGGATATCGTGGGTAGAAAAGGTTAGAAATGAAGAGGTATTAGAAAGAATAGGAGAACAGAGGACTCTGTGGAAGTCAATAAAAAATAGGCGAGACAGGTTGGTAGGACACCTTCTTAGGCATGAAGGTCTAGTCAGAGACGTATTAGAGGCAGAAACAGGAGTTAGGAGGGGTAGAGGTAGACCTAGATTGGATTACTGTTCGCAAGTAGTTAAGGATGTGGGTTGTTCTAGTTTTAGGGAAATGCGAAGTTTGGCTCAGGATAGGAAAGAGTGGAGGTACGTGTCCAACCAGTCTTAGGACTGATGACCTTATGATGATGAAAAGTTTTTAATCATTTTTTAAAAATTCTTTTTCGAACCCGTGAACATTATGATAAAAGAATAATATTGTTGGGGCGAAAGGGGAGAAAGGCTGGCGGCGGTGGAGAGAGGGCAACGGCTGTATTAGATCGATATAATGCGCAGCCGCGCACCGAGCGAGGAGTCTGTGTTAGTTAGTGTCCCGACGGTGTGTGCTGTGCTCAGCTGTTATTTTTTTACCTCTGCTCTCCACCTAGCTGAGCGTCATTGCCGCTATTTGCGGTCTGTATAAAAATCAAATCATAATTTGCAGTAAACCTGTAAAAACGTAATGTGTGCTGGGACATAGTAAAAATGAAACTTCAACGGACAAGTGGAAAAATGAATGGCAACGGACAAATTTTTACTTGGAGTTTTACGGGCAGATTTTCAATCTGGTCAAGTACATTAACAATCTGCCCGTAAAACTTGAAGTAAAAATTTTGTTGCCATTCGTTTTTCTACTTGTCTGTTGTCATTCGTTTTTCCACTTGTCCGTTGAAATTTTACTTCTATTATGTGTCCCAGCATACATTTCGTTTTCACAGGTTTACTGCAAATCATGATTTGGTTTTTACACAGACCGCAAATAGAGGCAATGATGTCCAGCTACGTGGAGGGCTAAGAAAACAGCAGCTGAGCACAGCACACGCCACCGGTACTCTAGTGAACTCCCTGCTCTTTCGTGACAGAAAAACTCGTAATACCTCTCGTCTATAAGTAAAATTCACTTTAATAATATATTTGTAACTTTTCACTTAACAGTACGGCGGGGTTCGAGCCCACGTTGTTTCAAATTTTGACTTTATTCCTTTAGTTTCAGTAGAAGGATGAAGTCGTTTCGTTAAAGGTTCCTTACATCATGGTATGAATTTACTATGTTGGGTTGTTATCCGTATTGTAAAGAAAAGTGAAAATGAACAATAACGATAGCTTTTACCACTACTAAAAAAAATTTTGTTGCGATTCGTATTTTTCGCTTGTCCGTTGAAGTTGCACTTCTACTATGTGTCCCAGCATACATTTCGTTTTTAAATATTTTCAGTAATATAGGTACTTTAATATGGACGTTTATGTTACTAAATGACGTTATCAAAGAAGAACCTTAAACTAATAATAAACTGTTATGCTCCTGTTGGTTAGCGAGGCTTTTTTTCTTATTATCACAGCGTTTTCTACATTTATTTATATTCATTTATGATTGTTTATTTTTGTTATTTTCTTTTTTTAATTTTTTTTTTTTGTATATTTCAGATGTCAGGTGACGTCTACGGAGATTTGGTAAGTGATTCCTATATTTTTTCTAGCAAGTACAAATACTAATAGTTCTATTTAAAGGAAATATAATTATATTAAGGGTAACTGTAATTAAGGAATTAAGGGCGCTGCGCCCCAAGGAACCCCTGGGGGGGGGGGTTCAACGAATCATTAAAATTTTATTTAAACGGTAACGATATTGAACATAGCTGAGTTTCTCTATTAACTCTCTATTCAATTCCTGGTCGAGAGTCATGAAAAATAGCATAAGCACCACGGGAGGAAGTAAGCATGTGGTCTCAGCAGCAATTTCGTCCTTTTCATCTCTAGACGCGTAATAAAGTAATATAATGTCGAAAAACTCGAGACGTATTGTGGTGAAATTATATACTTTACATTGTCATGTTCATGGAACTCAAATTTACAGCTTCTATTGATCATTCTTCCCCTATTTGGTATTCAGTTGTTTAATCAAATCAATATTCGGATAAAAGTACTTTATCTAAAAAATACCGTCGACGTTTCGCCCAGATTGTTGGGTTTTCTCAAAGCTAAAATATAAGGTGGAAATTAATATTTTATTAAGAATGGACCGCATTGATCTTTCTCCAAGCTTACCTAGTTTTATTTAGTTGAAAATGTAACGCTGATGGATTTTCTTAAGTGGTACATGCTCTAAAATTAACAATCATTAATATTTCCACTTCTTAAACTACAGTTTTATTAATTTTTTTGGATACATAATATAACAAGTTTTTTGAATGTTTTTTTGTAGATGTTTGTATACTTTTTTTTTTTAAAGTGTTTGTGTATGATTGTCACCATGTGGTTTTTAATTATTTATGTATTTATTATTTTAATCATACCAAGTGTTACCTATAACAATTTTATATTAATTAGCTGTGTAGAGGTTAAATAATAATGGTTGTTAATATTAGAGCTTGTACCGCTTAACCAAATCCATCAGCAGTACCTTTTTAACTAAATAAAACTAGGTAAGCTTAGAAAAAAGATCAGTATGGCCCTTTCTTAATAAAATATTAATTGCCACCTTATATTGTAACGTTAAGAAAGCCCAGCAAATTTAACAATTCAAATCTACAGAAGTCTGATCTGTCCTTGGCCATGCAAAAAAATGTTGATCGCTATGTTAATCTTAAATATCCTTTGTAATAGTAAAACGGCCAATAAAGAAATAAAGTTGAGGTCACTGATGTACATGAGTATTAAATAGGAGCCAAAATTGCTCATAACCATATGCAGATTTGCGGTAAGGGCAGAAACAGAGAATATCAAGGATATCTGTGAAATAAGTCAAAATTTGATCACTTATTTGCAGCGTTTTATTTCGAAATTCAGTACGTATATGTAATTGTTTATTTTTTTCTATAGGTATACGTAAGGATATATCCAAAACATGGCAAATATATTGAACATTTAGACATACAATAATAGATACAATTAATAAACGAATCAGTAACATTAGATTACTGTTCTAGAAAGTACCTATTAACTAAATAGTAGTTCTTAGATTTTAGAAAAATTTACGAAATATGTCTAACTATCGTACTGTAAAAGGGTTGGAAGTATTTCGTATGTTGTAACAAGAGGAACCACCTGCACTGATGGTACCGTTGGTGTTACAGTTGATAACAATGGTTTATTGGGATCATTTTCTAGAACTGCCTCATCCGCCTCTCTCTTTTTAAAATTTTCGTTTGAAATCACGTCAGTTACTGACTCATAATTTTCTTCTGAATCTTTTTTATTGCTTTCATTAACGATTGGGTTTTCATCAAGTTCTATACTAATTACTTGTTTTGTGCTACTCGGTTCATCTGTTGAATGTGCCTGTTGTGTCAGTATTGTGTCTACGGGTGCTTTATCGGTTGAAGAGTAGGCATAGGTAATAACTCCTTCTATACTCAAATCATAATCACGATCAGTACGTTGATTGCTTCCTTCACTTATAGTTACTGATATTGGAAGGGCTGCTGCAGCAGCTATTGCTACAGGCTCTGTAGCGCTTGTTGTTGGAGTTGTTGTTGAAGCTGTTGTTGGAGTTGTTGTTGAAGCTGTTGTTGAAGCTGTTGTTGGAGTTGTTGTTGAAGCTGTTGTTGAAGTGTTGTTGAAGCTGTTGTTGAAGCTGTTGTTGAAACTGTTGTTGAAGTTGTTGTTGAAGCTGTTGTTGAAGTTGTTGCTGAAGTTGTTGTTGAAGTTGTTGTTGAAGTTGTTGTTGAAGTTGTTGATGAAGTTGTTGATGTATTGCAATTTTCTTTACCTCCCATGAGTATGAAATATACTAAGTTCTGTTCGAAATGATATACATTTTTATTTTCTGTATTTGTTATGTTTGGGCAACCCGGTTGGCATTCTGTTAATGTTTCAGGTGTTTTATTGTCTGAAGGTGTTGACAATTTCGTTTTACAAGTAGACGATGTAGTTGGTTTGGGGGAATGTGTTGATGGTGTGTGAGACGATGGTGTTTGCGACGATGGCGTTTGTGATGATGATGGTTTTGATGGTTTTGATGGTTTCGATGGTTTTGATGGTTTTGGTGGTTTTGGTGTAGGAGGAGAATCGGAAGGTGTAGTGTCGGTAGTTTCGGGAGGAACAGTTGGGGGTGTTGCTTTTGTACTTAATGAATCCCCGATATCGTGGATGCAACATCCATATATCATACAACATATTCGGCGCTTTCCTGGTTCTTCTTTTCCGTGTTTATCCGTGGTGTGTTTTGGATAGTCAGTTTTCTTTTTTTTTTTAACATGGGCTCTCCTGCTTACCTCAAAATGTTGTGGCGAAGGTGTACTTGTTAAAATAGATGTTGTAGTTGTGGTACATGTTGGTTTTGAGGGGCACCATTTTTGCGTTTGTCTTTTACGTGGAATACAACGATGTCTTGGTTGAGCGCTTACGTGAATGCCAATATTTAGACCTTTGTTAAATATGTTATTATCATCGATTTTACTTATGTGTAGGACGTTTTCTTTGTTAATACTAGCAGCTGACTGTCGAAGTGGAAAATGAATTTGTGATAAATTTTGAACTTTGTCTTGAAGCCATAAAGAATGTACTTGATAAAATACCGAATATGTGATTAAAAACTTCAAGAACGAAACCTAAAAAAGAAAACAGTGATAATTGAAGATTAATATCAGTAAAGTAGAGAGAAAACTAGTGTTCCACATATTAGATAAAAACGCTTTCATTTCAATTAAACTTAAATTGTAAAATGTTTATAACTGCAATTTTACAATAAGTACAATTATGTTAATGATATATGTATAAATGGTGTTGCCAATTCGGTTAAATGCTGGCCTTCGAGTCTTGCATCAACGAAATTCTTTTGATAGTCTACATTTTACTTACTACTTCTTTATCATATTTGATGTAAGTTCGGTTATTACTAGAAACTACCACGTGCTTTTTGTTCTAGTTTGTTGTCTTCATTGTCTATGTCCAGATGTCCAGTACGCCGATTGCGAATAAACTGGTCGATCAAAGCCGACCAGAGGCAATTTTTCTCATTGCAGAAGATGAAAAATGATCAAATTTACTTACAGACGTTTTATCAAAATTAAGTGATTAAAAATGTATAATTACTAGAAAAAACAAAACATTAATAGAAACATGATAGCCCGTATTGTCGGCTCTGATTTAACATCTGGGATTAATAGAAATGATCGTCTGCATTAACGCATACAAAACAAAATTTATTATGCTAATAGAAAAAATAAATTAATTTGAATCATTTTCCAAACGTGATCGTCTCAAATTCTTATAACATGTAAAAAAATAAAGAAATTAAAATGTTAACTGAAGGTTAACAGATTAGATCTAATGACTTTGAAAAAATTAAAAATGCGTATTTTTATTTTCCTTTCAAAAAGGATTAGAATGTGAAACATATTTACGAAAAAAAAGTCAGACGTCTGTCATATAGAAAAGAAGGCGGTTGAAAATGAAATTGCTACTTTACCAACTAATATAATTATTAAAGCCAAAAATGAAGATTTTTGGAAAAATCCCATTATTACCAAATTAGTGTAGCGAATTTCATTTTTATTTTGGGATTACATACATTTGTGAATAGAATTTTTTATATTAAAAGTTAACGAAAATTACACTACTGATTTCCATATTGAAGATTCATTAACATTATCTTCATCTTGATGTGCAACAGGCAGCCACAAGATTCTCATTAATGATGGGACAGTAAAAAGCAGTGTAAATCTATATTTTTTTGTAATTATTCCCCAATTAACCTTTAGTTGGATGCAGAACCGGCAGCATGTTCTGCGCGGATGGGTAGTTGACCTTACGCAATCTGAATGAGTGGGGATAAAAACGGATAAAACAAAATAATATTATTATATTACATAAAAATAGCAATATTGCTGATCGTTCGTAGACATTCGCGGCAGACTGACACATATCAACAAATTATAGAAACCTCAAAGATATAGTAGACTAAGTGGCTGAAGGTCATCAGGACCGGATTAAAGTATAAATAAAATTATTTATTTCAGACAGATATTGAAAACAAAAAAAGTGGAGAAAAATTGAAATAATGAATTGAGCTTTACGGTTAACAATTTTTCATGGTATTCAAAATCATATTTTACTAAATATTTACTTACAGACCAAATAAAATATTTTCATTACCTAATAAAAAATATGAATATTTATTATTGTTTGACAAAAAATATTTACCACTATAATTACATCCACCCCTCTTAAAAATGAAAATAATTTTATATTGGACTTACTATTACAAACGCAAATTAACGTGATTATCAACGAATATTAATACATTCAAAACTGGTTTGGTATGATTAATACAAATTTCAAGAAATAATTAAGTGTACCATTTCTCCCCCACCTCTGTACCATAAAAAGTTAGTGACGGTCTCACCCCCATAAAAGGTTGTGGAGGTTCAATGTTAATAAATATGCCAATTTTTATATATTTCTGGGCACGTAAATATTTATATAGTCATTCTTAAACAATATTCAAAGGTAAAACTAATGAAAAATACATAAAACCGAAGGGGGTGGGGGCCATCNAATAAAAGGTTGTAAAGATAGCAACGCACTTTAAAAGTCAGTCTACTATATCTTTGAGGTTTCCATATTTTTCCTTATTTACATTTGCTAGCGGTCTACAACATTCCACCCTTTCGTGGGATTTCATTTGGTGTATGAGTATCAGTAACCACGTGTTCATTGTATTTTTTGAAATGGTGTACAGTAAAAGCTCTTTATTCGCAGGGTATACGTTCCAAAACTATTAATAACTACAAGTGGTTTGTCGCAATGATTTCATTTATATATTTTTTCATATATTTTACGTTATTTCAAATAAACCGACAAATAATAGTCGGTATTAGTATAGGAATAAGACAGCATTCATTCGATTCTTGTAACCAGCTTTCTGAGAATTATAACATCGCATTTTGCACGTAGGCAGGTCATAAAATTGACCGATCGGGCTAGGGTTTATGAGTCTTTTGTCCGGTTCCATCCGGTCGGGCGGTAGTTTCGACCACGGGAAATTCCTAGGTTTACGTACATTTCAGATGTCTTGTTTATGTGTATGCATGTGCTGGTTACGAGGAACAAATGTTGTTGCCATTACTAATAGCATTCGGGTAGCGACCCTTGTCGAACGCACAACATCTTGTCTTTATCAATATTCCCTTTTTGTATTTCGTTGTTGTAATTCAAATTCTAAAGTTTATTAAATCCAATAGTAAATTCAGTTATCCAGTTTTTTATTTTACTTATAATCTACAGAAATTACTGTGTCAAATTAATTTGGGGCACAGTTGTGGTCTAGTGTATATAGGAGACTTACAATCTCCTTGGGAACTTTCCGTATGCTAAGTCCTCAACTTTTTCCAACAAGGAATTAGAATTAATACATAATAATACTCACTCTTAAATAAATATTAATTGTTGTTATATAAACATTTAGTGTAATACACTTACTGTAATATAACTGCACAGATATACAGTAAAAGCTCTTTATTCGCAGGGTATACGTTCCATAAATATGTCGCGAATACCGAAACCGTGGATATGGAATGGTAATTAGTATGGAATCATAGGGGATACGTTATAAGGTTCCAAAATAAAACCAATATGTTTTAAAATAAAATCAATTTATTGAGAAATTCGCAATTAAAGTTAATCGTTATAATTAGCTTTAGGCAAGGGTTTAAAAAATTTAGTGATTTTTTCTTGATTTTAATTTTTAAATTAGTCCACTCTGTTACTTTCTTTATAAAAGTCGCCTCGGTACCAGCCAACAGTACTCAAAAGATCCCAATACGTTGAAAAATAACACCGAATCCTTTTCTCTTTACCGATTGCATCCGCGAATAATGAAATTTTTAGCCGCGAATACAGGAACTGGGTTGCAATTTTTTCACCCGCGAATAATGAAAACGCGAATAAGGAAACCGTGAATAAGGAACTTTTACTGTAACCAAAACATTAATTTAGCAATATAATATATTGAATATACAGTATACAATAATATATACGATGCCGCTCATTAACAGCTGACTGTAATACCGATATGCGCATGCGTGCCTTCCTATTCCCATACCCTATCATCGCGTCGCGAGACAAAACGCTGCAAAACGTGTCGTTTCATGGCCTTGAGATTTTACTCCCATCGAGTCCAAAGAAGTTTCACTTCAAAAATGGACAGAAACATCTTCGAATGTACTTCTTAGAGATGAAATAAGTTGGTCAATCATATCAATGAACGGTTGTCTAAACAAATCTTTCGGGGTCGTGAATTCATTTGTATCAGCTGCCCCTCGCCCTTCAGATTGATATGTTTATAAACTTTTTATCGGCGCGGAATTTGACATTCGTTTAGTTGAATGTCAGCAATAATTTGAACGTTTTTTTTCCATATTTCCAAACACTTTAAATGTCAGCAACTGCTTCTCTCTTTTTATATGATTCGATCACGTAAAGATCAGGGTATACTTCGTTTAGTTTCTCTAGCGATGTGACCTTTAGTTTGACCGGCGCAAAGTAGAAAAGAACAGCACTAGGCCAGAAAAGAAAGGAGACAACTCTCGGCCAAACTCTTAATCGGTGAGGAGCGTATAATCCTTACAGTACTGCACGGAAAAATTGACCATTTTATCCACTATAATTGCATTGCTCAAATGTGCTTTTATTGGTACCATTTATTACTGAAAATATTAACGAGATGTTTATTTATATTAGAAGACATATTAAAGGCTTTAACGCTTGTTTTCGACTCGCACTACTATTCAAGATTAAACAAAACTTTTGGCAGGTACTGTATGAAAAACTATGTTAAATGAATAAAAGTCGAGACTATAATGAGCTTTTTTCTCTCTACCTACGATTTTGCCAGCGCGCATCCAAGATATTGGAAGGGGTACTTCGTTAGAGAAAGTAAACGAAATATAATTAGACCGAATGTCCTTTTTTATGGTTCAAATTTCAGCTTTTACAAAGCAGTGTGACTCATTTGTTTATTTAAAGATATTTACCGCAATTTTTAAATATAGCTATTGAATGTCATTAGTAACAGATGCATTGCCGTCAAAAAGCATGTAAAGATATGGCAAATCGGCATAAATCACCCTGTCTACGCGCGGAAGACGGAGCAGAAATTTGGCAACCAATTTTTACGTCTGTAAATCATGTCGAACTATAATGCATGACGAGAAACGAATAATGAAAATGACTTATTTGACCGATATATTCAATAAACTCGACGTAATCAGCAAATTCATAAAGTGAATAACCACAACTAAGTTTGCAGTGAGAGACAAAATATTTTCTCTAATAACGATGAAAAACAAATTTGGCTTCTAGATTGAATGTGCTGAACAAAAAGGTTACGAATGTTTATCCTCTTCCAAATGAGAATTTGATCGATATTAATCCTCTCTAAAACAAAAATTCGAATCGAATGATTGAAACTTGAATGACCTTCGGATTGAACTTCCGATTAAATAAAAACTTTTTAACATAACAATTAAACCGCCGAAAAGAACTGAAAAGCAAAAAATAATAAACCTTTATTTTATTAACGTTAACAACTACGTTCTTCAACTAATGTGAGTATACCTAAGTATTTTTGAGTAGGCCCTAAACAATCAATAAACAAAGATCACTAAATTACCTTAAATTTAAACAAATAACCATTGCATTGTTAATTTTATTTGGTTATTTCTTTAAATTTAAGGTAATTTAGAGATCTTTCTTTATTGATTGTTTAGCGCCGACTCAAAATTACTTAGGTATTCCTACATTAGTTGAAGAACTTAATTATTAAGGTTTATAAAATAAAGATACATTTGCAATG